CTTTCCTCGTGAATTGGTCTCCCAACGCCTCGAATCTGGTCATAAATAGTTCGTTTTAGTTAATAAAATTCATTTGAATTAATTCCATATAAGAAAATAATGATTTTCCATAAAAATCCAAAAATTAGCTCAAAAATCGCCCGTGGGGTCCACATCTCGGAACTCGACAAAAGTTACAAACTCTGGAAACCCATTCAATCACGAGTCTAACCATACCAATTTTACCAAAATCCGACCCCAACTCGACCCTCAAATTTTCAATTTAAACCAAGAGGGTTTTCAAATTTTCCCAACTCAATTCACCAATTAAATGATAAAAACAATCATGGATTCGGGTAATTTAACCAATATTGAGTTAAGAACACTTACCCCGTTGTTTCCTCTGAAAATCACCCAAAATCGCCTCAAATCCAAGCTCCAAATCGTCAAAAACTGAAAATGGTCAGAACTTAAACTCACTGCCAAGGCTTTTCTTCTTCGCGAACACGGTCAGTGCCTCGCGTTCGCGAAGCACAAAATAGCTCCCGTCCAAATTCCTCCTTCGCGAACGCGATATCACCCTCGCGTTCGCGAAGCACAAAATGCCTCTGCCTCAATGCCTTCTACGCGAACGCGTTCAACCCATCGCGAACGCGATGCTTTGTTCCCCCTCACTACGCGAACACGACACTCCCTACGCGAACGCGTAGACCAATTGCGTGGGGTCCTCAGCTGCTTCCTCTCTTTTTCGGGAACGCGTAACACCTCTCGCGTTCGCGATGCACACCCAGTCCATCCTTCGTGAACGCGAAGAGCAAATATTGCCAGCCTCTCAGTCCCTCTTCGCGAACGCGAGGCTCCACTCGCGAATGCGATGAAGGAAACTAGATGGTGCATCAGAAAAATTCCGGCAGAGTTCCAAGTCCAAAATCCAATCCATTAACCATCCGAAACTCACCCGAGCCCCTCGGGACCTCAACCAAATGTACCAACAAGTTCTAAAACATTATACGAACTTAGTCGAATCCTCAAATCACCTCAAACAACGCTAAAACCATGAATTACACCCCAATTCAAGCCTAATGAACTTTGAAATTTCTAATTTCTACAAATGACTTCGGAACCTATCAAATCACGTCCGATTGACCTCAAATTTTGCACACAAGTCATAAATGACATAATATAGGTATTTCAATTTTCAGAATCAGATTCCGACCCAGATATCAAAAAGCCAACCCCCGGTCAAACTTCTCAAAAATTAAACTTTCGGCATTTCAAGCCTAATTCCTCTACGGACTTCCAAATAATATTTCGGACATGCTCCTAAGCCTAAAATCACCATACAGAGCTATTGGAATCATCAAAATTCAAATATGAGGTTGTTTATACATAGGTCCATATTGGAATCATCAAAATTCAAATATGAGGTTGTTTATACATAGGTCCATATTGGAATCATCAAAATTCAAATCCGAGATCGTTTATACATAGGTCCATATTGGAATCATCAAAATTCAAATCCGAGGTCGTTTATACATAGGTCCATATCCGGTCCACTTTTCTAACTTAAATTTTCAATTATGAGACTAAGTATCTCATTTCACTCCGAGTTCCTTCCGGATCCGAACCAACTAACCCGATAAGTCATAAATCTATTGCAAGACATAAATTGAGGAGTAAATGGGGGAACGGGGTTATAATATTCAAAACGATTGGCCGGGTCGTTATAAGAAATAACAAAAATGAAAGCAAAACTTAACAACTAACTGCAATAAATAACTAAACAAATGGTAACAATGCCACTCCGCATTTACAATAACCAACACTCTAGTAATACACAGTATTCCCAAAGCCCGGAATATTATAAGTCACAAGCAACAGAAGAAAACTAGTATCTCTATACACCAAAGTCTAATAAAAGAAGTATAGAAGGTAAATGACATAGGAGAGAATGGAGGGGGGACTCCAAGGTCTACGGACGTGAAAGATGTACCTTGAAGTCTTCGTACAATAGTAAGCACTCTCAGCTAGTAGCAGGGCTGATAAGAAGCACTTGGATCTACACACAAAACATGTGCAGAAGAGTAGCATGAGTACACCACAACGGTACCCAGTAAGTGCCAAGCCTAACCTCGGTAGAGTAGTGACGAGTTCAAGCCAGAGCCCACTGGTATATAACAAATAAAGCAGGAGAATGTAGCAATATAATAAGAGACTGGAATTTAACAAAAGGAAAACACAACAAAATAGCAACACAACACACATGATTAAACAGCAGGGAATCTCTCGAGATACCGTCTCGTAGTCCCAAAGTAAATATGCAAAGAGATCTCCCGAGGTACCGCCTCGTAGTCTCAAAAGTAAATGTGCAGGGCGAACTCCCGAGGTACCGCCTCGTAGTCTCAAAAGTAAATGTGCAGGGCGAACTCCCGAGGTACCGCCTCGTAGTCTTAAAAGTAAATATACAGGGAGAACTCCAGAGGTACCGCCTCGTAGTCTCAAAAGTAAATATGCAGGGAGAACTCCCGAGGTACCGTCTTGTAGTTTCAAAAGTAAACACACAACTCAAACCGAAAAATACAACAGTTAACAACAAGAATTCTACAGTTAAGACTGGTAAAGGTCAAGGAGAAGCAGGAAATCAACTAGGCATGTTGCAGAGTCCAAATAAGCAGTTAAAGCACGTAGACATATGATATTAGGCTAAACAGGATAACTACACATGCTGGTATAACTCAATTAAGATAAAAATAGGTTACTACTCACTAAAAATCAGATTTTACAACAAATGGCCCGTGTACGCACTCGTCACCTTACGTACACGACACTCACATATCACAACAATACCAAATCCTAAGAGGATTTCCCCCACACAAGGTTAGGCAAGCCACTTACCTTGAACCAAGCTCAATCAATCAATAAGAATGCCCTTTCCTCGATTATCCGACTCCTAATGGCCCAAATCTAGCCAAAAATAATTACATATCATAAATACAACTATAATAGACTAATCTAATTAATGAAATCAAGACTTTAACAAAAATTCCGAAATTAATCCCAAAAGGTCGACACGGGCCCACATCTCGGAATCAGGCAAAAATCACAAAATTTGAAAGCCCATTCACTCACGAGTCCAACGATACCAAAATTTTCAAAATCCGTCCTCAAATGACCACTCAAAACCCAAAAATTACTCCCGAAATCCCTAGCCTCAAACCCCCCAAATTACACCTCAAAACACACCATCTAGGTGAAAAATCAATAGGAAAACACAATAATTGAAGAAAGATGAACACAAGGAACTTACCTCAAGAACCCCCTTAAAAATCCGCTCAAAACCCTCCAAAATCCGAGATCAAAATGTTAGAAATGGTGAAAAATCTTGAAATCTCGCATTTATGGGTTCTGACCAGGTCTTCCGCACCTGCGACAACTTGGCCGCTTCTGCGGTCTCGCAGGTGCGCCCCAGAGCCCACTTATGGGCAAACCGCATGTGCAGAACAGCCCTCCACCTACGCCATTCTCCGCATCTGCGCCCAAAGTCCGCTTCTGCGCAAACCGCTTCTGCGCGCGCATGTACGCATTTGTGGCCTCTGTCCAAAGCATCCCTGGCCGCTTCTGCGGTCCCTTTTCTTGCTTCTGCGAGTTCTCATATGTGGTTCCCACTCCGCAGATGCCATTACACCAGCAGCCCTCAAACTTCAGCAGCTCTTCAACTTCAAACCTTGATCCGTTAACCACCCAAAATTAACTCGAGGCCTCCGGGACCTCAACCAAACATACCAACAAGTCTTATATCCCAATACGAACTTAGTTGAACCCTAAAATCACCTCAAACAACGTCAAAAATATGAATTACAACAGATTCAAGCCTAATGAACTTCGAAATTTCAAACTTCTACAACCGATGCTGAAACCTATCAAACCACATCCTATTGACCTCAAATTTTGCACACAATTCATATTCGACATTTCGGACCTACTCCAACTTCCGGAATCGAAATCCGACCCTGATATCAAAAAGTCCACTGCCGGTCAAATTTTTCAAAAATTTGACTTTCGCCATTTCAAGTCTAAATCGGCTACAGACCTCCAATTCACATTCCGGACAAGATCCTAAGTCCAAAATCACCCAACAGAGCTAACAGAATCGATGAAACTCTATTCTGGAGTCGTCTTCACACAGTTCTAACTATGGTAAAAAATCCTAGAACTTAAGCTTCCGTTTTAGGGACTAAGTATTCCAAAATACTCCAAAACCAAAAACGAAACCTCCCGGCAAGTCACATAAGTAGAAAAAGATACGGGAAAGGCAGTAAATAGGAGATCGGGTCTATTACTCTCTAAATAGGAGATCGGGTCGTTACAGAGATGAACAAAAGAAGAAGTCTCAATCCATAATAAAAGAAAAAAAAAAGTGAATCCAAAATGCAGAAGCAAATGAAAGATGTGAGCTGCTCAAGACATGACTGAAGTCACGAGTAATGTATTCCCCATTTTTTTTTTTATCAAAAGAAGCCATAAAAGAATGAACTAGCACCTGCAGCTTGCAAGCATCAAGGCTTCAAATCAAAAGTCTACATGAAGAATCATTCAAGTCTCAAGATCAAGTTTTAGAAGACTTATAGATAGAAATCTTGTAACTGATAGATGATAGGCTTGTTTAGTTTCTTTTGATCTTGATGTAATAACAGGACCATGGACCGTAGCCTCTACGGAGCCTCACACAACTCCACAACTCATCATTCCACCATTCTCTTTGAACTACACGCGACCTGATTCCCCTATAACCCGAGATATGTAGGCTGCCCAAAACCAGGACTCGGTTGCAGCCTATCTTTTATTTATTTTCCTTTTGAATAACGGTTTGGTCAAAAATTAGTCACATGACTCACGTTGTCTTTGCCTGAAAACTCTTCATGTTTCCAAGCAAAGAGGGGCATGTTGTGAGAATCTAATTTTTGACCGTGCTTGAATGTTTCCCTACTCATCTCATCAATGCCTCTTTTTCCACTTTCCCCACTCATCTCCCTAATATCTAACTTCCCAGTTCCCCCACTCACTTCCCATTTACCCCATTCACACTCCCACTTTCACCACTCATGTCCTCCACTAACATTTTTTCCCCTCCAAGCATTCACTTACACGCAGATTGCATTATATATCTTCATATACATAGCAATAGAAGTGGGTGGGGATATAGGAAGAGAGGAATAGATCTAAAAGAAACAAAAACTGGGATTGAGAGAAGAAAGGAGCAGCCATAGCTTCACAAAAATAGAGTTTGTGATCTCTTTTTCTTCCTCCATTAACATAGCTTCATAGTAGTACACAAAGCAGTCCCCAAACCCTCTTCTTCCTCCAAAAGGCTCCATTAAACCACCAAAAAACGTGCTCAAAACAACCACTATTCCACCAGCCTCAAAACACCTACTTCCTCCTCCAAAACACCATCGTTTTAGCCCAAAAAACGCAACCAAACACAGCTGCAAAATCGCTGAATAAACTAGTCCAAAATACCAGCCAAACACCTCATTTTTAACTCCAAAAAACCTTGAAAATGCAGCTAAAAACCAGCCCCGAAATCCAGGTGAAAGCAGCCCCAAAATACCAACCAAAAGCACCACGAAACAGCCCCTCAAACCCAGCAAAATCAGTCAGAAAAGTGGAGTGTGAGGTTGCCGTTGAGGTCGCGATCGAGTTCCAGTCAAGGCGCTCGTCCGCTGGTCTTGTGCGTTTTCACTTGATGATTTTGAAACCTTGGCTTTCACTGTACGCTCATCACTAATAAAGGTCCATTTCTTTGCTTACTTTTTTGGTGTGGATTTTAATTATTTATTATGCTCGTGAACGAGTGATTAAGCCTCATGTTTGATTTGCGAGATGGAGTTGATTTCTTAGGCTTTTTGTTGGGTTTCATTTGGTTGTTAAACTTTCCTGCTGATTAGTTACTTGATTAGCAAAGTAATAAAATGTATTTTGTAGTATATCATCTTGGTTCTGTTTATTTGTTAAGATTTGTAATTGAAGACTAAGTGTGCCATTTGGTTTAACTGAATGCAAAGAGACATGGCCATTAGCTAAATATTTGACAATTGACGGGTTGTGGGTTTGGGCTTGATTTTACGAGATTCTGATTTTTTTAAATGGGCCATCAATCCCATAGCAATAAACTCATAGGCTAATTCATGTCTATCCCATAAGGAATAATTGCAAACACTTTCCATAATGTAGAGGTGTAAACAATCGCATAAATAATCAGTAGGTGATGAATATTTCCACAATCACTTCTCATAATTTTGGCCTTACAACAAATCTCAAACTAGGAAAAATAATTCAAAGAACATCGTAGCTTGCTTTAGGAGCGATTAATAATAAATTTATTGTGATTATGTGTACGATTTCCATAGGTTTATTGGGATATATACTATTAACCATGACTTTGGTTTAGATATAGTATTTATTATGAAATAATTATTTATTCAGTTTTAATAAAGTTTTAAATAGATCATATATTAGTCTGTGTCCCTTGTTTATATAGTAAATGATTTAGTGTATAGAGTTTAGCTTATACACGAAAGATTAAATCACCGGTTCTTATAAGTATAAAGTTTGAGTTCACAATCTAATGATGGAATTGGATAAACCATCATGGATGATTGTAGCACAAGATTAAATATAATTTATCTTGATTATGGGAATAGTTTAATTCTAACTTTTTGTACTAGTACATTTTGTATGTATTGAACGGACCAAGTAGAGATAAGTATTTTATACTGACTTAATAAAATAAATTCTCTAGCCATTAAATGTACTTATACTCTTAATCTTGATATAATTATTATTAGCTATGTATATTATTATTGTTTTGATTTATTAAATGACGAGATTCTTTCGTGGGTCAATATGCCTGGTAAATTGGATAATAATAATGTACATTGGCGAAGTAATAGTTAGTTGATGGAATCCATGCCTCGGTTTAGAGATTGATGATACACCTTTATGAAAACTTATAAGTTTTCATGTGTAAACCCAGCCGGTGGATTTTGTATCCGACACATGAAATAAGTTAAGCGAAAATCTAAAGGAAATAACCAATAAATTAAATTGTCAGTAATTTAATTTAATTAATTAGTATCTGAATCTTAACATGGGGAGTTAATAAGATTTAATGGATGAATTTCGAAATTGAATAAGGAGTGCAATTACGATTTTTAGTGGAATAATTTGTAATTAAATATGGTGGATATTAATTTCAAAAATTAGAAATTGATTCCATAATTGGAAGCCTTGTTAATTAAATTCTGTGGACCCTGATGTGTCTAAATAATCGGAAATAAAGGAAACCTTTTTCTAATAGAAAGGAAAACCTAACAGGTTTTGGAAAAGAGTTTTAACCCTTAAAACTTGTGTTATAAATACATAATGTTTTCTACCTAGAGGGAGTAGAACAAGGTGGCCGAAAATTTCAGCCAATATTTTCCTAAAAATTTCTCCCACACGAAATTGTTATTTTTCGGATATTATTTGGGTAACACAGTAGAAGACCGTGGAACGTTCGAATATCGTGATCCTGCGGGTGATGGAGATTTCATTGAGTTGCTGTGGAATTGGAGGCTCACGTGATAGGGGAGCTTTGTTCACGCTTCAAGAGATAACTCGTGAAATCCCGTTTATACTAGTTATCTACATTACATGTGATTTTGATATTGGGATTGCTTCCGTTGCATATAATAATCCATCACAAGTATGTAACTAATAATGCGTGCCAAGTTTAGAGTTTTTTTTAAGGTATTTTGACTGAAAGTGTTGTGATTGAAACAGTGGAGCAGAGCATAAGCAGAATTATGCCACGCACAATCTAATAAGTAGTCAAATAGTGATTGCATGAATAAGTAGTCAGGAAAAATGGACCTGAAGAAAGTGAAGCCAATTAATTTCCAGCTGGAGCCTAAATTAGACCAAGCTGTGCAACTGTCTTACAACCACAAAGCTGCGTCGGTGATTGGAACATAAAGCCATGATATAACGCCACTATTTGGATATATGTAGGTAGATTTGATTTTTTTTGGCTCTTTTACTGTTGCTATTCAAACACTGTGATTCATGAAGATTAATTACATACAAAAATTATACTTAACCGTTTCTTAACAAAGATTATTTGAGTTGAGAGGAAACTATGACTTTATAGCTGTTACTGGATCTGAGGCACTGTGTGGTGTCGGTGTTCTCAAATGCATTATTGCTCTCTTTCTTTCCCTTTCCCTTTCCAGGAACTATTACCATTAAGTCTTCCTCGCTGTTATTACTATAAATATAATATAATATGATATGCTAGCTAGCAGAATTCTACTTTGCAAATAGTTAATTCTACGACATAATATTTCCATTTTACAAAAATAGGTTGTGCCTTTTAATTGGGTAAAGAAGCCGTGTCAAATGGTTTTTGGAAAAGGTTAGTCCATAACTACTTTTCCTTTTCCAATATCAAAGAGACAAAATTTCTTAACATAAGGAAAATTACTGATTAATTTGAATTTGCATCATTAAAGTAAAAATTATTTCTTACCAATTTCGAAATCTCTATTTAAAAGCGAAGAACCACTGATTTTTTATTGTTTTCCTTTTGCCTTCGTTTAGAGAGAAGAATTTTCTTTTTAATTCAATTTATGTGAACTTATTTTTTTTTGTCCGTTCTAAAAAAAATGATTCCTTTCTAAATTTGGTAATAATTTAGCTTAAAATTATAATTTTAATCTTAATGAGAAGCTTTTATAATCACACAAATACTCTTAGTCTTTTTTTGATTTGTTTAGGACTACAAATTCTAAAAATCTTATTTTTTCTTAAATTTTGTGCCCACTCAAACAGATTTACATAAATTGGAACGGAGCGATTAATCTTAAAGAGAACACACTTTGATTCTATCTACGCACTATAAATAAATGAATTCTGCTAAACACGAGCTTCCTCTCAATCCCCGCGTTAACACTTAAAACAGTCTCAACCGCTCACATTCGCTCCCGGCTTCTCCTCTCTCTCACTCATTTGCTCACAGAAGTAGTAAGCTTTTTAACAGAGAAGCAGATAATAGCACAGAAAACAAGATTCAAAAAAACCCAAAATGGGGTCTCTTTCACCACCATATTTGGACTTCTCTCATAACTCAACAAAGCAAGATTCATCAATAAACCCAACAAAACTTCTCGATCTCTTCAAAGCCCAACAAAATTATCTCAATCACTTCTTTCAAAATCTTGATCTTTCCCAAACTTTAACATTCACCCAAACTCTCCTTAATGCCAAAGGTACAATCTTTTTCACCGGTGTGGGAAAATCTGGATTTGTCGCCCAAAAAATCTCACAGACTCTTGTTTCTCTGGGTATCAAATCTGGGTTTTTATCCCCTGTGGATGCGCTCCACGGAGACATTGGCATTTTAGATCCTCAAGATATTTTGGTTATGTTTAGCAAGAGTGGGAATACAGAAGAATTGTTAAAGCTTGTGCCTTGTGCAAAGGCTAAAAGGGTCTTTTTAATCTCGGTTACTTCTGTAAAGCCTAATTGTTTGATGGGGTTGTGTGATCTGAATGTGCATTTGCCTTTAGAGAGGGAATTATGCCCTTTTGATTTGGCACCTGTGACGTCTACTGCTATTCAAATGGTATTTGGTGATACGGTTGCGATTGCATTAATGGGGGCAAGGAATTTGAGCAAAGAAGAGTATGCTGCGAATCATCCTGCTGGTAGGATCGGGAAAAGCTTGATCTTTAAGGTGAGGAATAGTAATAATATCCTGTCATAATTCATTAATTTTGATGTACCTTTGTGAAATGTGATTACTTTGCGGTGTATTTATTGTGGATTTGAAGTAAGATCTTGGAAATATTTCCCTAAACTGCGCTAGTTAAGACTTGAGTTGGAGCATGGTTAATGTGCCTTTAACGCGTATGATCTGCTTAATTTGGTTTTGGAAGTCCAAATCTAGGGTGTTAAAAGGTTATTTAGGTGTTAATGCTTGTACTTTATTGCATTGCGAGAGGCAGTTGTAGTCGGTTGCAATTGATGTGAGGGTAAGTTTAGAGGGCTACTTGCATTCTGGTGTCTTCTTTGGGGTTTTACCCTCTCAAAGAAAGTTTATTTCCCAGCAACCCCTTTAAAGCTGCCTAATTGATTTTCTCACCTTCACGCCAAATTTTGGATATGCAATGATGCTATTGATTGGCTAGCTGCTTTAGCTTTCAGCTGTCTATTAAGAATTGCATCAATTTTTCTTGTGTGCATCTGGTTGAGTTCAGCCAAAATGGTATCTTGACTTGTGGAAACTGATACAACGGTGGAGTAAATTAAAAGTTTACTCAGCTGAAGTTGAATATTCATTTTACTCCTGAGCTTGCCATCTCTCAGGTGTTTGTAGAGAAATATCTGAATAGTTAAAAAATTGGTGACTGATGGATAACTTTTCAGGTGAGAGATGTGATGAAGAAGAAAGAAGAACTTCCAATTTGCAAGGAAGGAGATCTTATTATGGATCAACTAGTAGAGTTGACAAGCAAAGGATGCGGTTGCCTCCTTGTTATTGATGAGGAGTTTCATCTGCTAGGCACATTCACTGATGGTGATTTACGTCGGACATTGAAAGCCAGCGGGGAAGGAATCTTTAAGCTTACAGTAGGAGAAATGTGTAACAGGTAATTTCTTACTTTTACCTCTGTTGCATATTTTAACCATCAATATATCAGTTCTACTGAAAGACCTAATCCTTGGGAAAAGAAGGGGAAAAAAGGCAGAAAGGAAGAAAGATATACTGAATAATTAAAGAAAATTCCTCGACAAGCACTTTTTTGCTATGGTAAAATGTGAGCGGACCTTTCTAGCCTTCTATAGTCATGAATATTTTTAAAAGATTTTTGCTGTTCTTGTTATCTGGAAATAGATCTAACTTAGTCTTTTGTTAATCTATAGTGCAGTACTTAATTTTCTTTGGTGGTCAAACTTAGGATCCTGGTATTATCTTTCCCTTTCCAAAATCTCAATGGCATATTGTTCTAATGAGAACATGTCTTTTTGCATAAAATCTGCTATAGCATTAGATGAGGGCGGGATGGTTAAAAATGATGCCGATTGATGGGCCAATGTCTGTGCTGCAGTTGAAAGGAAGTAAATGATAAATCACATTTTGGCTTTGTAAAGTACTGTTATAAACATTACATAAGTCATCATTGATAACTCCTGGGATGTTATTCAAGTTTTCTTCCAATAGGAGTTTGAATTTTGGCATATTTACCTTCTTCTTACTCATTAAATCGAAGTAGGATGGCGTCTTTTGACTTGCCAGATGGAGAAGTGAAGAATTATTCTTTGCTTCTGCCTTTTAACTTNCCCCCGCGGTGGTTCTAATAGTTGTAGCAGTAATGATATTATTAGTTCTTCCTTGATCCTTTTAACCTTCGATGATAGTCTCTCGAGAAGGAATTTGGATTATTATGGAGGTCACTATATGTGTTCTCTCGTTATAAGAATTTTTGTCAGCAATCATCGTTTTCATCGAGAAATCATATTCGTATGTAATTGATTCAGTTTCGTTCCTTCTCTCACCATCAGATTATGCTAAGCATGTATAAGTTTGATATGGGACCATATTGCGAAAGCATGATGGTAAAGTTTACCGCGCTTAAGCGATAAACACAGTTTTTTATAGAGAAATTGAAGAATATTCTAATGACAGTTCTTCCAGAGGTTATCAAGAAAGTTTGTCGGTTTATTGAATTCTATGTGTAATTTTAGTAACATTTTGAAGTTTCCTTATCAACGAGAGAATAAGAGATTTATGGTTTTCTATTTATTGCCTGTGTGTGAGGGAACAAATAATTACCAATAGTTATCCTCTTGTGTGATTAAGGCATTTCTATAAATTTGTTTGGCGTTTCAGGAAACCAAGGACAATTGATCCTGATGCTATGGCAGTTGATGCGATGCAGAAGATGGAGTCTCCGCCATCTCCAGTCCAATTCTTGCCAGTTATTGATCAGGATAATGTTTTGATTGGTATTGTTACATTACATGGACTGGTCTCAGCAGGCTTGTGAAGTTCTTGCCATAATTACCTACTCTTTCCATCACTAGTTGTGTCATTAATTCTTTTTGTATATTGTTGGGTTTCTTGCCCTTACTCTTGAGTTGATATTCTTTACTCCTGTAACAATGATGAATATTAGTAGTAAAATATTATAGTCGTGTTATTAGACTTATAGATTGGGCTTAGAGTTAGACCTCTTCTGGCTCTCCATTCTTCTACTGTTGTGTCTCTCATTTGAACCTGTTGCAACGAGAGAGCACGTGATAGCAATGATATGATTTTTCTTTAGATCTATGCGGAAATTGAGTTGAAAATATGGTTTTGATTGAATGTTGGGTTCTGAAGTAATGTACTTGGATTTGTGCAATTGAGAAAATAATGTTATATAGGAGCTGCGATTTTCTGTCACTGGTTCCAAACCACCGTATTGCATTTTTAATTTCTTTTGCTAATTTTTCTTTTTCTTTTTTTGGTATCCCGTGTTACTTATAGGCTATAGCTGATTCTTTTTCTTAACCCTTTCTTTGTTTGCTTTCCTTTTTTCCTTTTCCTTGTCCTTGTCCCTTTCTATCTAGGATTGTGTTTCTATATGAATCCTAAGTTCCTAGTCACAAGGAAAAACATTAAAAGCCTTCAATCTTCTTCTCTATCTACTGGAAATCTCTCTCTTTTTAACTCTTGAGCATCCATTCCCTAGCATTTGAAATTCTTGGTCCTTGAATATAGAACTGAATGAAGATATAGTAGTGGATATTAGCTCCCGCTTGCCTGTGAAGCTGGCAATTCAATGTAGAGTTCTCAGCAAGAGTTTTAATAGCAAACTTTGTGAACCAAACTTTTCTCAAAGTTATGCTTCCCGATGGTTTCAAACTTTCAAGATCAAAATATTTCTAAACAAGTCATCTACTCAACTTCATTATCATTATCATTATCATCATCACGGTACGAATTATCAAACTATTTCCACAAAAGTCTCCGTAAACCCTAGCCGATTCGGAAGATCAACGACTTCATCTCTTAACGTTTCTGTTTTGGCCTCTTGCAAGGGTCTCCTTCTCCTTGAATTTCAACAATTTAAGACTTTCTGTATTTTCAATCCTATAACAGGGGTGCACCAATTGATACCTTATCCAGAGCCTAGAAATTATTTCAGAATAATTGACGGTGGCGCAGGATTAGTTGTTGATTATCCTACATCAAATCGACATTATAAGGTGGTAACCGTTGGTGTATAAATTTTGTGTATTTTCATCAGAAGAAACTAGAGTAGTGCCAATTGCGAATGGACGTTTACGGTAACTATTTAGTCGGTCCACAACCTGTTTACGTGCACGATTGCTTGCATTGGCTTAGAAGCGACGGTAATATTCTTGCTTTTGATACAAAGAGTAGTAGTATTGGTCTATTGGACATGCTAGAATTTTTAACCGTCCTGATGAGATCATCAAATATTTATCTGATGCATGGTTCGGGTTGGCGCAAGGTGTACTTACTCTAGTTTGTGTCTTCAGATTCACAGTAGTAATTTTTGGTTATGATTATGTAAGCCACAATTGGAAAGTTTCATACACTTTGGCCAACTTCAGCCCTGATCTGAGCCACCTTGGTCATGGTTTTCCAATATGGTTTGACGGCAAAAAGTTGCTTTTCCTGGTTAGACGTCCGGTTGCGCCGCCGCGTATGTCTGGATATCCATACGAGGATGATTCAGAGAGAAAGACGTATGAAAAAGTAGATGCATTACTTTTGGATATGAAAAGTACTATCATTATGCGACACTTTTTTTTTCCTTCGAACCAACATTAGCCAATGTCCCTAAAACAGTGCTCCCTCCTTACACGGCCCACTCTAAACATTTCCCAGCCATTACTACTGTTAGGATCGGGAACACGGGTAGTGCGAAATTTAGCCAAACAACGGTATAATGACAATAACAAAGACAATAGAAGTTGATAATAACGGCAATTAAAGAAGATAAAGAAGACACAAATTTAACGTGGTTCGGTCAAGGTGACCTACGTCCACAGGCGGAGAGGAGCAATTTTACTATATCAACAAGAGTACAAAATTAGAGTAAATACTCTAATTAATCCCAAATACACCAAGAGAATAACCTCACAAGATCACTCCAAAGACAGGGTTCACACAAGTGTTTCCCAACACTCACTCTCTTACAAAATACTCTATAATGAAATAAAGGAGGAGAAAGAAAGACAAGAGTGAAAATCTCTTGAATTAGTGTGTTTGCAAATGAGGAGAAACTCCTCTATTTATAACAAGAAATCCTTGGCCTAATAATGGATCTTATGTCATGGCAAATGTCATGATCCACAAATTTGTTATAATGGATATTATGTCATGGCAAATGTCATGAACCACAAATTTGTTATAATGGATATTATGTCATGGCAAATATCATGAAAATTTGGCCATATTACAAATCTCCACCTTAGCCTAATTTCAGCTTATATATAGTAAATTTGCTCTACCTTCTCCGCAAAAACCCCAATGGGCAAAATCATTCTTCATAAATGCCAATCAAATTCAGGCAAAACTTGAACTTGGACACTGGAAGAGGTTTTGTGAATATGTCAGCAGGATTGTCTCTGGTGTTGATCTTCTGAACAAAGACTTTTCTTTCATCAATGGTTTCTCGGATGAAATGATACTTTATATCAATGTGCTTCGTCCTCTCATGATACATTTGATCTTTAGTCAAGTGAATGACACTTTGACTATCACAGAAAATGGTAATACCACTTTGGTGTAAACTGAGTTCCGCAAATAGACCCTTCAACCATAAAGCTTCTTTGGTCGCCTCGGTCACTGCCATATATTCTGCTTCGGTAGTAGATAAAGCTACTACATGTTGTAATGTAGCTTTCCAACTAATAGCGCAACTACCGATGCAAAATACATAGCCTGTCAGGGATATTCTTTTGTCAAGATCACCTGCATAATCTGAGTCTACAAAACCAACCAAAGTGTTAGTATTTCTCCCAAACTCTAAACATGTATTTGAAGTACCTCACAAGTATCTGAGAAAAGCATGCTAATGTGCTTTACCAGGGCAAGCCATATACCGGCTTACCAAGCTCACTGCTTGTGAAATGTCTGGACGTGTACAAACCATTGCATACATAATACTGCCGACTGCACTGGAATAAGGAACCTGTGCCATGTACCTCTCTTCTTCCTATGACTGCGAGGNGGTCAGAAATAGCCTGTTGGCTTTTCGATCTCTTTTGATCTCCATGCCAAGGATTTTCTTAACTACTCCCAAATCTTTCATCTCAAATTTATNTATAATGGATATTATGTCATGGCAAATGTCATGAAAATTTGGCCATATTACAACTACAATATTAAATGATTCGCGAGACATTGCTCGCGTTCGCGATGAAGGAAAGACTGACTCCCCTCCCCCCCCNATTTGTTATAATGGATATTATGTCATGGCAAATATCATGAAAATTTGGCCATATTACAACTACAATATTAAATGATTCGCGAGACATTGCTCGCGTTCGCGATGAAGGAAAGACTGACTCCCCCCGCGGTGCCTAACACTACGCGTTTGCGATGAGCTTGTCGCGTTCGCGAAGGGTAGCTCCCCCATCGCTTCACGTTCGCGACCTAGCCTTTGCGTTCATGGAGAAGAAAATTCCAACCTGGCCAGCTTACCCTTTGCGTTCGCGAGAGAGCCTTCACGAACGCGAAGAAGGACATACCAGAACACGTCCTGCAGTAAAATACCAGATTTTCTAAGTCCAAAACATCCTGTAGCCTATCTGAAACTCACCCGAGCCCTCGGGGCTCTAACCCAAACATGCACACAAGTATAAAAATATCATATGAACTTGCTCGCGCGATCAAATCGCCAAAATAACACCTAGAACTACGAATTTAGCACCAAATCAAATGAAATTCTCAAGAACTCTTTAAAATTTCAATCTTCTCAACTGGACGTCTGAAACACGTCAGATCAACTCCATTTCTCACCAAATTTCAGAGATAAGTCTTAAATATTATAATGAACCTGTACCGGGCTCCAGAACAAAAAATACGGACCCGGTACTAACAATGCCAAACATCACTCAATTCTTAAAAATAAATAATTTTCAGACTTTTAATTTTAATCAAAAATTCATAACTTGAGCTAGGGACCTCCGAATTCGATTCCGGGCATACGCCCAGGTTCCATAATTCGATACGGACCCACAGGGACCGTCAAAACACAGATCCGGGGTTGTTTAGCAAAAATGTTGACCAAAGTCAACTAAAATCAACTTTTAAAGCAAAAATTCTTATTTTCATCAATTTTCAACATAAAAGTTTTTAAGGCTTAAGAGGGCAGAATCGAGTTCTAAAATATAAGATGACCTTTTGGGTCATCACATTCTCCACCTCTAAAATAACCGTTCGTCCTCGAACGAACATAGAAAAGTACCTGGGCTGGTGAAAAGGTGGGGATATCTACTCCACATATCGGACTCGGACTCCCAAGTAGCTGCCTCAACAGGCTGACCTCTCCACTGCCCTCGAACTGAAGGGTAACTCTTTGATCTCAACTGGCGAACTTGCCAGGCCAGAATAGCCACCGGCTCCTCCTAGTAAGTCAAATCCTTGTCCAACTGGACAGAGCTTAAATCTAACACATGGGACAGATCGCTGTGATACTTTCGAAGCATGGACACATGGAATACCGGATGAACATCTGCTAAACTAGGTGGCATCGCAAGCCTGTAAGCCACCTCTCCTACCCTCTCTAGAATCTCAAAAGGTCCGATATACCTAGGGCTCAACTTGCCCTTCTTTCCGAATCTCATTACACCCTTCATGGGTGATACCCGGAGCAACACTCTCTCTCCGACCACGAATATAACATCGCGAACTCTGCGGTCGGCATAACTCTTCTTGCTGGACTGAGCTGTGCGAAGTCGATCCTGAATAATCTTGACCATATCCAAGGCATCCTGTACTAAGTCTGTGCCCAACAAATGAGCCTCTCCCAGCTCGAACCACCCAACTGGCGACCGACACTGCCTACCATATAATGCCTCATAGGGAGCCATCTGAATGCTCGACTGGTAGTTGTTGTTGTAAGCAAACTCTGCAAGGGGCAAGAACTGATCCCACGGTCCTCCAAAGTCTATAACACATGCGCAGAGCATATCCTCCATGATCTAAATAGTGCGCTCGGACTGCCCATCCGTCTGAGGATGAAATGCTGTGCTCAACTCAACCCACATACCCAACTAACGTTGTACTGCCCTCCAGAAGTGCGAGGTGAACTGGGTACCTCGATCAGAAATGATAGACACGGGCAA